CTCAAACTCAAATTCTTCAGCAACCTTGGTGCTAAAGCCACTCTTCGTGATGCAGTTTACAATGACACAGGGTGGATCCTCATCCCATGCAACAAAAACATTTCTTGCAGCATCAAGAACACTCCATTTTTGCAGATCTGCTGCATTCCTGGAAGCCTCCCGCAGCAGATAACACACCAGTTATTTCCGTTATGCCATCTTAATGTGGTTTATTATTCCCTGATCTAGAAAAGAACATGTAATAACTCCATCTATGCAGACTAATGTTACAGTGTTATCTACATGGTATATTTTGAAGTAAACAAACAATTTTTCACGGGTTTATGGTCCAAAGGACCAGAAAACATCACTGAATTTAAAAATAGCCATTTTTCAAATTACCTGTATCATAAGACACACAAAAACCTATTCTTTTGGGTGGGGAGTGATAATAGTTTCAAAGTATCCAATACTTTGAACTATCTGATATTGAACTTATTAAGTTTTCCTGTGTTCTGCAAAACCTTATTTTTTTTCCTATGCAAAAAGCATGTGCATTTAATAAATTCCTTTAAAGCAAGGGCTACAAAGGGTTTTCAGCACTTTGGGAACACATGGCAGCGAAACTGCAAAGCAGAATAATCACCTGGATAGAGTTCCAATGGCATCGTGCATGAGCTACTAGAAAGACCAGTGGACTGGGAAAGACTAACCAGCCACTGTCTTGGGGCCTCACTAAGAACTAAGAAGCATGCCCAAGAGGCCAGACAAAGTCTCAGGATGTTTCTCAAAACAGCAAGTCTGGGAAGCCCAAAGGCTTGGTCCAAAAACAGTGTAAGTGACACACCACAAGGAGGAACCTCAGTCAGTAATGCAGTTCTCATAAGCAACAAAGAAGGGAAAAAAGCCACACCACACACAGAAGAGTATGCTATAGGTACAATGAAGCGATTGCATTGGTTTCCTCTCCCCACTAGCTTATCTTTAAAGGCATTGCTTAACAAGCACTATTTGATAAGAGGTATTTGTCACAACCCAAAGTTGTGGATTTTTTGATTGTGTGCGCTTCGGCACCGCTAAATTATGTTCCCGCCGAATTGGAGCTCTTTTGCACGACGGAGTGTTCTGTTGTTATGGAGAACCCGCGTGCAGAAAAGAGCTAGCTATTGGCTGGCTAGCCGTACAAAGGGCTTGGGTGGTTTCCGCCCAAGTTGGAGTTGGAGAGAAAGACGGAGAGAGACGGAGAGACGGATCTCTAAGCGCTGTGGGTCCTTTCGAACCCAGCATGTCTTTCTTAAGAAGGCGACAGAGGCTCCAATTGCCGAACCCCTGGAGCCTAGCAAACTCCGGGGCACCACTTACCGATGGCCTCTAGCCTCTCCCCGCCATCGATCGCAGCCCAGATGAATCCCTATCCTAGAACCCAGTTATTGACACCACGGAGTCTGAACCACTCCGAGGATCCTGGGAACGGAGTTTTAGAGTCCTCCAATGAGGAAGGAAGCGGAGCTGTACCTGGGAAACTGTCCAGCCTGCACCGCGACCATCTCCGGTGTAAGTAAATAATCTTTTCAATCAACCATTACGCCTCCGTGACTGATTCTAGCTCGAGCGTACTGCTCCACCCCGCGACTTTTCTCCGGCCCTGCATGCCCAGGCTGCCGGCCACAGCACACAGACGGGCCCGGCTCGCGCCCGGCGAGGGCGGGACCGGGAGTCGGCCCACACAGTATTAAAGCAGATTGTGTGTGACATAGGTGGATAAAATATATCATATGTTCCCACAGAATCAGAGACACAAAGATAAATACCTTTGATTCTGATATCTATTATATTATTTCTGATATAAAGTTCTGCAGGCAATGAATGAAAATATGGCCATCCCTTCCCATCTCACTTAGTCACAAACACTTTGGAATGGAATTGCCTTAGGAAGAAAGCTGATGCCACTAATGCCTTAGGAAGAAAGCTGATGCCACTAAAAATGTATGTTATATGGCTATATTTAAAATGTTTATTTGGAGCTCTATAAAAAAATAGGTTTTTAGTACATCTGTCTGCTGTATTTCCCCACAGCCCACACACCAAAGGTGTCTGTTTTCATATATATCACAACATTAATATAAAGGACACTGCTAGAATGGGTAAGGCACTCTGCAATGGATGCACAAGTGAGCATTCAAGCCTCACATCAGAACCCACACTGACAGCCAGCTGACCCAGCTGTAAATGTACAGTCCAGCTGGAGAGTCAAAGGAAGCTGGACACGATAGCTACAAAATTCTGTGCACCAAGCAGAGTTTCACTTAATTTTTAAGGTTCGACACGGGTGGGGGGAGGAGTGGGCATACCGTGGCAGTCGGGGGAGGGGAGGAGTAGGCCCAGGCCTGATACGGGGAGGGGAGGGGAGGGGAGGGGAGGAGGGGGGGAGCAAGGGACAGGTTGGCCCAGGCCCACTGCTTCCCGCCGCCACGGCCTGGCTTCTCCCCACCCTCGGGCCTGGTCCTCCCCTGCACCGGGCCCAGCCCTGCTCCTCCCCTCCCCCCACTGCTGCAAAATATTTTGTTTACTATAACATATGCCACCGTTTTCCAAATCAAGGACCATGTTCTATCCAACACATGCACAGCTACCAGCTTCTTTAACAGCTATGTCTAAAGGCCAAAACCATGTTCCAAACACATTTAAGATGGAACATTTTTCCATTAAGGAATATTAGAGCTCTGAACAGATTATGGGGACAGCTGGTTAGTACTGAAGTGGGGGGGGGGGGGGAGAATATGGGGCTGGAGTGGAGACAGCTGGAAAAAAAATTCTAAATCTAAATATACACCATGGCCCCATCTACATGTTGTTATAGGTATCATGCAATTAACTGGTTAATTGCACAATTAACTTAAGACCAGCTACACATGCAAAGAAGCTATCACATACCAAATGTGTATTAACTTAATAGCTAGTTGCTATTGAGTTTAATTTGCAGTGTAGTAGGGACTCTCCTACGGCTGGGAGCCACATCAGCTGAAGAGGCTCCCAGTAGCAGGTATGTATCACGCCCAGCTGGGGATGGGAGTCCCACAACTGAGGGGACTCTTAGCCCCAGCAGCTGCCAACTCTGGGTCCCAGCAGCATGTGGAGTCCCACAGCTGTGGACACTGGGTGGTGGGACCCAGATGGGTCCCATTAGCTGGGGTGGTATTTCTGCCACAGAGTTGTTTGAAACCCCAGGCCAGGGGGATCGTGGCTGCCATGATCCCCCAGGCCCAGGGATTTCACATACCCTTAAGCCCAGGAGACTCTGGCAGCCATGATCCCCCAGGCCCAAGGGGTGGGTTTCACACACCCCTGAGCCTGGGAGATCGTGGCAGCTGCAATCCCCCACCCTTGAGGGTATGTGGGGTGCCCCCATGGCTGGGAGCTCATCAACTGACGGGGCTCCCAGCCACAGGAGCTTGCTTGTTGCTGGTACAGGGGGAGCCCAGGATCAGGCTCCCCCTGCACTGGCAACAAGACATGATGGGATCTAATGCATGATCCCACAATCACACCTCCTGCCATGCATGTGTGGCTTGGCAGGAGACCGATTGTATAGACTGTGCATTAGATCCCATTGCACCTTTAACAGCAGATGCATGACAAATAGAACCAAGGAGGTGACACGTCCCCTCTATGCAGCATTGGTCAGACTGCAATTGGAGTACTGTGTCCAGTTCTGGACGCCATACTTCAAAAAGGATGTTGATAGACTTGAGAGGATCCAGAGGAGAGCCACTCATATGATAAGGGGCTTACAGGACAAGCCCTATGAGGAGAGACTGAGGGACCTGGACCTCTTCAGCCTCCACAAGAGAAGGCTGAGAGGTGATCTTATGGCCGCCTGCAAATTCATTAGGGGGATGCAGCAAGGGATTGGAGATGTTCTATTCACCAGGGCACATCTTGGGGTAACAAGGAACAATGGTCACAAACTGACAGAGAGCAGATTTAAGTTAGATATCAGGAAAAACTTCTTCACGGTAAGGGTGGCCAAAATTTGGAATGGGCTTCCAAGGGAGGTGGTGCTCTCCCCTACCTTTGGGAGTCTTTAAGGGAAGGCTGGATAGGCATCTGGCTGGGGTCATCTGACCCCAGCACTCTTTTCTGCTGAGGCAGGGGGTCGGACTCGATGATCTGTTGAGGCCTTTCTGACCCTAGCATCTATGAACCTATGTAGAGGGGGGCCTAACAAACATAATTCACTTCATCCCAACTTCACCAAAAAGCTACTTTTGTAAAAAAAAGTTTATTGCATACACACACACAAAAATCATATTAAGAGATTTGCAGGGAGCCCAAGTCATGTTAATAACAGGAATTATTCTGGAACATGCTTTCAAATGTCCATCCTTACTATTATAGAGGGTCACAGAGAGATGTCAGTCTGACAAAAAAAAATTTAGTTTTCTGATTCTCTCCCCTTTACTTTGTTTTAGTAAGCATTTATTATATTTAAATAAATATTGTTTAGTGGAGTTTGAACTAAAGTATTCCTCTTGCCTGTCTTACATATTTTACATAGATTATTTGGAGTTTTGTTACATTTCTTTTACATTTAAAAGTTATTTAGTTTTAATTCAAGTCTTTCTCCATTCAGAAAGTAGTTTCGTGCTTCACTCTTCACTGTGAATTGAAATAATCTGCCCTTGCCCCACTGCATCGTATTTCATTTTCTCCAAAACAACCAGTTCAAAGGGGAACACATTTAGTTACCTAAATTCTATTACAAGCACAAAGCTTAAGACAATATCTTTTGTGTTCACTGGCATCATGTCCTTTCGGTATTATAATGAATAATTCATGTGGGTTTGGAAAAGACAGAAATGCCAGTGCCTGAACAACTGCTCTGCAGGTTCACTATATCTCTTCATTCAGTGGAAGTGTGCCACATAACCATAACCAACCAATCAAATCATCATTATATTTAAGGATTTCATATACATAACAATAGCCTCCAATACAATACATGTGGTTTGCAGACTTACCTGCCTTCATTTACTTTTGCTTTGTCTCCTTGGCATGGGAAGTTTTCAATGTAACCTAGACTGCAGTTGATTTGTGTCCAATCAGGTTGGCATACAGCCAGGAAGTGAGGCCGCAATCTACCAATGGAATACTTGGCAATGTCCGTCAGTGATTGGCTAGCAGCCGCACCAAAAATGAATGTCCCAATGGCTTTGTAAATAGTGGCTATGTAGTTATTTCTGACAAACGAATTTGAGTGCAAATGGTTATAATAGACAGACAGGGCTTCTCCTATGATTATCTGAAAAACAGAGATAGATACCAGTTACAAGAGAGAAACATATCTATATCCCCTTGAAAGAAAGGCATTAGTAGTTATCAAAAATCTTAGCTTTGTCAATACATGTATAGTTTCAAATTGTAACATTGCACCGATAAAGATTTTTTGGGCTGATACCGATTGTTGACCAGCCATATTGGCCAATATTGATCTGATTGCCAATATGCAGCCCAGAAGCTTGGAGAGCAGTGTCCAGCTGGTAAGTCTGTTGTGGGGAAGAGGGGAAGGGGCAGAGGAGGCAAATTGAGGCCCCCATGGTGAAGGAAGGAGTGGGGCTGCAGCAGGAGCTAGGCTGGGGCTGCACTCAGATGGGCAGTGGTGACACTAAGAGAGGGGCTATGGGTGGGTTACAGCCACCCAAAAACTCACTATAGCCTCCACTCCCAGTGCCACTATCATTCGACCCAGCCCTCCCCACCCTGTGACAGGAAGAGCCCGGCACAGCCTCTGGCCCCAGCCCACAGTGGAAACCTGCCCTTGCCCCACACACAGATCCGGGGGGGACACCCTGCCATGCCTCCACCAGGGGTGTGTGCTGCAGCAGGAGCCAACCCCACTCAGCTCCATCCTGTGCCACACCCTGGCTAGGCAGTGACTACCCATGCCCCAGCCCCACACCCTCCCTCACTGCAGGGCCTCAATCTGCCTCCCTTACACTCCTTCCCTCCCCCATGCCCCTTCTCCCCTGACAGACTTCCTGGATGGATGCTGCTCTCCAAGTTGCCAGGCTGCATTCCTGGCTATGTGCATGTTGTGGCTGCACGCATGCACACAGCATTTAAATCGCCAACATTATTGGCCATATCAGCCAATAAAAGCCAATTGCCAATAATGTCAATTTTCCTTTTACCAGTGCTGATACGATATGGACCAATGTATCAGTGCACCTCTAATTGTATTATTAAGATATGGAAATAAGCAAATTTTTCTGGAATTTACTCAGAAGAAACAATTTCCAACAGTGGAGCCAACATAATTTTAAGAAGCTTACATGTAAATAATTTTCTTATTCTGTCTTACATTAACTTATAAAAAGTGGCAGTGTTAACAGAGGCTCTAAAAAGGACTTTAGTTTCCAAAAAGAATAAAAACATTTCCCACACTGCTGTACAGGACACATTAGTGGCACATGTTATTCTACATCATGTTTCCACTCATAACCTTTTTCTAAGCATAAATTAATCAGCTGTGCCAAAAGTGTGGTGACTTCGGGGAAGTCAAGAGCTTAATTGGAGGGGCTGAACCTAAATACTCAATACAGGGGAGCTAAAAAGCAAGCTCTTTGAACCCCCTATTACTTAGTTAAATGGAATCTCTAGGGGGTGAAAAAGGCTTCCTTCAGGAAATTAAGTCTTACTAAAACAATAATGGCTCTAAAAGGAACAAGGGAGTCTGCCTAATATTCATTCTGTCCAATACAATGCAGAGCACAAAAAAGCTCAAAGATTAATTATTTTCTCACATGCTCAGAAAGCCAGCAGACTTTGTTTGCCTTCCCCTCAATTCAGTCTCTTGTGGAAAGTGTTTTATTATAAAAATATAAAATTTTAATTTAGTCTTTATGAAAAGATACTATGCAAAGAGAAGCACAAGTGCTGGAGCTGAACCACAAGATAGCCTACCAGAAAGCCATGAAAAGACACTAGACCGGGGGTCAGCAACCCCCAGCATGCGTGCCAAGCATGGCACGCAAGTCCATTTTGCTCAGCACTCCAGGGCCAGCCCTGTCTCTGGGTAGCTGCTGGAGCCCAGGCTGCTCCCAGCAGGGCTTGCAGGGTCCCAGCTGCCTGCTGTCTGCCCCAAAGTGCACGTGCAGTCGCCGCCAGCATGGAGCTGATGCTGGAGCTGTGGAGCCCAGCACAGCTGTTTGCAGCCTGCCTGCTGCTTGCTGCAGCTGCCCAGAGCCCAGGCTGGCTACAAACAGCTGCGCTGCGCTCTGGAGCCCAGTCACCAGCTCTGTGCCTAGAGCAGAGGAGAGACCAGGGTTGCAATGCCTCAGGCCCCTGCCTCACCACCTGCTCTGATGAACGGGTGCATGCGCTGGTATGGAGCTGATGCTGGGGCTCCAGAGCCTGGCACAGCTGTTTGGAGCCTCCTGGCTGCAGCTGGCCCCAGCTCTGGGTAGCTGCTGCCAGCCACAGAGCCCGGGCTGGGGGGGCAAGGGCAGCAGGGCTGGGCGGCAGGGGCTTTGGATGGGGAGGCAAGGGACACATGCAAGGCATCCTGCCATGTATCCCCTGCCCTCATTTTGTTTTTCTGGCATGCTGGCACCTTCCAAGGTAGGCATTGTGGGGGTTTTTGGCACTCCGACCAAAAAACGTTGCCTACCCCTGCACTAGACACATCCCACCAAGCTGTTCAGAATTCATGAGACACCTTTTTCTTCGATGCTAAAATAGAAAACACTAAGAATGATTTAAAGTAGTGTGAATAATGCTAATTGAAAAAAAAAGTATATTCTGAAAGACTATGAAAAAGCAGAGCCCAAGAGCTCAATTTGTTATTTACCCCTCTGCAAATTCATTGTATAATGCTGCCATTCTGATTTTCATGTAAATTGCAAGTGTGACATATTACTTCTAGACCTGAAGTCTTGTAACTTAACTTCCATGAGACAGAAGGGGATTTTAAGCTATGCCTGTATATGGGCTGTCTTCCCAAGATATTCCACTTCTATGAGTTAGTAACTTGTACACGGTTCTAGCTATTCTTTGAAGTTAGATATAGGCTTACATATATTCCTAAATCTGTGCATTAATAAAAGGCTGCTTAAAGGCTTGATCCACTGCTCACTGAAGCCAACAAGAGTATTTCCCTCTGAAGATAATGGGACAGTAAATAACAGTGTAAATAAGAAATCTGGCTCTGAATAAAACGGAAAGGGAAGATCCCATAGGGACAAAAGAGCATGAAGTAGTAGGTATGCTATATAGAAGCAAACAAAAAAGGTAAGTGACAATTATTTGTAGTGATAAGATAACTAGGAAGGGCTACAGTATTAAAATTTACTTTTGTCTAGTAAAAACCTGTAGCTACTTTGCTCTGTTTTAGGATTTCAAGTTCTAGTCTCTGTGCCACTAAAATCCATTAAAATCAAGGAGCTATTCTTCTTTGCACAGTCAAATGGAAGTAGAGTTTTACACAGGGTTCTGAAGGTTTCGGTAACTGTTTTTTGCAAGTTGCATATAAAGAGATTTCCAAGTAGTTAGTAGGCCTGACCTTCTATGAGCATTGGTTATCAGAGGCACCTTACATTTTTCAAGCAAACACGTTATCTTATTATAGACATTGTGGCCATGATTTTGATGTCATCCTGTTGATAAATTACAACTTCACTGAAGTTGGTGGAACTTTTTTGCTGGAAAAGAGAGATCATAACCAGGCACTGTTTTCCAGGTTTAGTTATTTCCTAAAACATTCAGGAAGAGAAATTAATAGACCAAAAAAGACACCAACATTTGTTCTGACCATTACAGTGCTTCCTTCTGCCAACAGTACCTAAATTCAGGTTCCACTCCTCAATAATTAGTAACAATAAAAAGAAATGTGCCTTTATTCAGCAAGACTTTGATTAATTTCTGATTCACCTTGTGGTGATAACACTTGCTATTTTACAAACTTGCCAGTTTATTAGTATAGTGTTCAACCCTCTTTGTGTTCAAGTAAACACCATAAGTGTGTGCTGTTTTTTAAGGGTTTGGGTTGTAGCCGTGTTGGTCTAAGGACATAGGCAGACAAGGTTCCTTGGGTGAATTTGATATCTTTTATTAGACCAACCCAAATGGTTGGAGAATAGTTATTAAGCAAGCTTTCGGGTTCAAAAACCCTTCGTCAGGCTAAGGAAGCTTCAGCAGTTGGTGTGTGCTCTTCCAGGAAGCCTGAAGCTTCCTTAGCCTGACGAAGGGTTTTTGAACCTGAAAGCTTGCTTAATAACTATTCTCCAACCATTTGGGTTGGTCTAATAAAAGATATCAAATTCACCCAAGGAACCTTGTCTGCTATTTTTTAATGCTTTATCAATAGCAAAAAGGATTTCTTACCAAGGGTCCAATCCTGAAAAAGCAAAACATACATCCTTAACTTTAAGCAGAAAATAGCCTCATGCATAAAACGTGCTATTTGAGCTTGCCATGATCCAAGGCAGGGGTGGGCAATTATTTTGGGTGGAGGCCACTTTAGGAAACTTGGTGAACTGTTGGAGGCTGGGCAAGGGGGGTGGGGGGTGCTGCCTAGCTCACCTAGGACAGCACAGCAAAAGAACAATCAAGCCTATCTGGCCCAGGCCTGCCTGCCCTGCGCACACTGCCAGGGGCACCAGACAGAGCAGGCAGACGGGGTCTCCATGGAGACCAGTAAGAACCCCTGTGGGCAGGGCACACTCAGGTGGAGTGGGGGGCAGGAGCGGGATGGGTGGGTGGGTGGGGCAGGGGCCAGGATTGCAGGGTGGTGACAGTGTGGGGCCGGGGCCCAGGGCAAAGCCATGATCTGCTCCCTGCATGGCAGGACCATGTAAGGAGTAGAGCCCAGCCCTGCAGTGTGACTGCGCTGTGACCCTTGCTTCGGACCCCACCTGTCTGTCCTGTTCCTGAACTCCGTTCCCCACTCACCCACAGCTGAGCACACCCTGCCTGGGTGTCCCAGGGCTGGTCTCATTGGAAACCCTGCTTGCCCGCCTGCCCGCTCCATCTGGCACCCCCAAAAGTGCATGTGGGGCAGATGGGCCAGGGTGCCTGGGCAGCGGGGCTGGGGCTGGCAGTGGTGGAGACACTAGCAATGGCATGTGGAAGGAGGGGACTGCTGGGAATTGGAGTCCCACCGCTGCGCTGCACTGCCCCCATCCTGCCACGCCTGGGGGCAGCGGGACCAGAAGCATACACCACAGTCTGGGCTGCCTCCCATGCCTGGGCCAGGCTGGATAGAGTACCTTGGCAGGCCAGATCCAGTTCATGGGCCATATTTTGCCCACCCCTGGTCTAAGGTAAAGAGGCACTAGGCTATTGTTTTAATAGCAATTATGTTATAAAAGTGGCAGAGCTTTAGGATGAAGTCTTTAAACTCCAGTTAAACCACAAATTGAATTGTATGCCCATGTTATGCAGGAGCCTAAGCCAGATCATCATGTCTCCTTTTGGGGTTATTAGGCTTAAGAAAAAAAAAGGCTGATAGTGCTAACTTTCTTGATTTTAATTTATAGAGCGTCATTTAAATAATTTCTTGAAGGCAACTGTGCTACATAAAAGAACAAAGAATAAAACCCCAAAATGTGCCATCACAGGTATTATGGACACACCACTTAATCTATAAAAGACACTTGGAGCAAGGATCGTGCAATTCTAAAACTGTTAAAAGTCTTGTGTATTTCATGGGAAAATACATAATCCCTGAGAATACTGAGTGACAATGACTGCAAAGCACTGCGTCTCAGGGCAAATTTTATCTTGAGCTCAAAAGGAGCCACAATAAAAACAAACTTTTCAAAAACTCCTTCTCTTTCATATTTGTAAAACAGTAAATTAGCTATCATTAGTGATCATCTCTGGCTGATGGCCAATGTTCCACTCTTTTTAAAGGGAATGTACTGCTTGTTTCCCCACACTGAAGTATTGCTTACCACTGGATAATAAAAACAAATAAGCTCAGACTTAAAATGTTATTATTATATTACAATCCTATAGCAGCATACTTGCACAGCAAGAATAACTCCTATATAGAAACTCAGGACGCTACTTTCTGGTTTAAATGGACCTATTTTTTTACTGCAAAAGCAGAGAGGGGGCGTGGGGGGGATAGCTCTGCCATGCCAAATACTAAGTCAGTGGCCACTAAGTCAGTAATCAAAACATATACCACCATCACTGATATACAGTTATTATTCTTTGGTTCAAATCAAGAGAATTCTCTAATTCTCCTTGCCAGACCATCTGTTCTGTTACCCTAATGTCACCTGGTCTAGGGACATTATGAGTTTTCATTTTTTCTTCTTTTTTTTTTTTTTAAACAACAAATCAGGTTCCCCCTCCTCCCCACACCCAACCACCAAATTATACGTAAGGAAGAAAAGTAGGTTTGAACTTACAACAATTATATCGAGAGGAACAATTATTCCTGCTAACAACTGATAAGAAATGGTGTCCTCTTTGATAGGATACTGGATGGATTCATCATTACAGAAAACGCCTCTCTGGAAGGGGGTATGCCTCGAAGTGAGAATTGCAAAAGGTAAGCCAGCTAGCAAAAGGAATAAAAATTATTACAAAGGAATATTTATAAGTTTCTCTTACATACATACACTATCCCCAAGCTTTTTCTGGGAAAGAGAAATAAGATGCAAAAGAGAGGAGCAAACATGCAGCAAGTCAGATTACAGCTTTGCTTTCACACAGGCTGCTTTTTAGAGGTTCTTGGTTGAAAAGATTGTCAGAGACACAGGCATAAACGGGCGCGTCCAGACGAGCGCACACGTGCCTCTTGCAGCGATTCAACCTCCTTTGAGACGCTGCAAGAGCCACATGCAGGAACAAAAAATGTTCCCTGCACTGCAGATTTGCAGCCAGGGGCAAAATTAGACCCACCGGGGTAAAAAAAAAAACCCCAGGAGAAAAAAAAAGGGTCAACCAGAGGCTTGGTCCTCCACAGAGATGCTCTGGTCGCCAGCCAGAGCATCTATATGGCTGGCCCTTGCCCCGGTGCTGAAGCACACTGCCTGCCTGTGTGGGGCAGGCAGCAGTGCAAGCTGCAGGGACCTGGACCCGACTTCATGCCAGGTAAGTAGAGGGTTGGGTGGCTGGTGGGGGGGGGGCCTCCCTGGCCCCAGGCCCTGTTTGTTCCCCCCTTCCTCCCACCCCAGCACCCCCACACTCACCAGCAGTAGCAGCAGCAGTCAGGGCCACTCGGGGCTTCATGGCACAGCCCCCCCTGCACAGGGGACAGCAGGGCTTGGCCCCAGCTGCCTGGCACCCGTGATGCCTCATCACGCGGGTGCGGCCCGGCTTGGCAGGGCAACACACACTGTCTTAGAGCTCTGGCCGCTCACGCTGAGCTGCACCAAGCCCTGGGTGACAGCTGCAGCACCCCCGAGCTGCCAGACAGCACGGGGCGCCCTGCCAAGCTGGGCCACACCTGCACAATGTAGCAGCTGCAGCGCAGATGCCAGGCGGCCAGGGCCAAGCCCTGCTGCCCCCAGCCACACAGGGGGGCTGAGCGGCCCTAATCACCACCGCTGCTGCTGGTAAGCTGTGGGCAGTACAGGAGGCTGGAGCCAGGTGGGGGAGCGATGTGGGGGCAGGAGCCAAGAGGGGGAGTGATCAGAAGGCTGGAGCTGACCAGGGGAATCCCTGAATTGTCTCCAGCCTCCTGATCGCTCCCCTGCTTGTCTCCAGCCTCCGGAGGACTGGAGACGGAGCTGGAGAACGAGCAGGGAGCTGGAGATGAGCAGGAGGCTGAAGACAAACCCCTGAAGATGAGCAGGGAACATCTGCAGCTCATCTCCAGCTTCCTGCTCGTTCCCCTGCTTGTCTCCAGCCTCCAAGACTGGAGACAAGCAGGAGGCTGGAGATGAGCCCCTGGAGATGAGCTAGAGACTTCCCCTGCTTTCTCCAGCCTCCTGCTCATTCTCCTGTTCATCTCCAGCCTTCCGAGAGTGGAGACCAGCAGGAGAATGAGCAGGGGTCTGGAGATGAGCAGGAGAACAAGCAAGGGGCTGGAGACCAGCGGGGTGGGGGGGGCTGGGACCCTGCAAGCAGGGCAGTCCATGTGCTGTGGGAGGGGGGCTCTC